CGACAAGAACCAGGTACACACCCAGTAAGAACCAGGAACGTACCCAGTAAGAACCAGGAACACACCCAGTAAGAACCAGGTACACAGCCAGTAAGAACCAGGTACACACCCGGTAAGAACCAGGAACACACCCAGAAAGAACCAGGAACACACTCGACAAGAACCAGGTACATACCCTGCAAGTATTGGCTACAAATCTAGCAAGTACCTGGAATTGACAGTACCTAAATTCTACCTGGCATGTACCCCCTGACACAAGACCCACCAAGTACCTGGCACAGACAAACAACTTGCAATTACAAGAGACTTCTCCAGGAAGTCCCCGGCTCATACCAGGTGGTAAGTACCAGGTACATACCTTGTAAGTACCCAGAATGTACTGGGCTGTGTTGTGTTCTGCTGCCAATGATTAGTTAAAGTATTTCCAGTGTCTGCTCCGTAAGGTGCAGGTCGGTCATCTTACCTGTGTGGTCGAAGGCCGGTCCCCTGTAGACCCCAGGAGCATCACTGGTCTGGATGAACCACTCGGCTCCTGAACCGGTCTCTTTAGTCCAACCACAGAACGACGAAAAGTCAAAATTACAGGCGAACCACAGGTAAGCTGCAGGAAAGAGACGAGAACTGTCGTTAAAAATAAATAAAATGTGTAAAATTAAACAAAAACAGGAAATGAGTAAAAACAACAGCTTCAAGTCGTCTTAAAGTCTGTGGAGCTTCACTGGTTAAAAACAAAAACCTTAAGGATCTAATTATCCTTCAGATACCCCCCCCCCCCACTGCAGTAAAACCATCCAGGAACCGAGTCCAGCGGTACCAGCAGGTCTGTTCGGAGCCGAAAATCATTTCTGCTGTTAGAAACCGTTTCCTGCTGAGTTTACGGACTAATCACTTGACTCAGGGAGAAACAGCCCCAAGACAAAACAAACGATCAGAAACTCACAGTTTTACTTTGTTTGAATACTCAGGATGGGTCGCTGTTTACTGTGAAGTACTGTGCAAAAGTCTTGAGTCGTTCTTTACTTCCTGTAATCTTTTAACGAGGTCTGGATTGAGGGTTCTTCAGGTCTCAAAGTTTTTATTTGAACTTGATTTTTCAGTTCTTAGATTATTTTTAGAAAAATGTTTTGTTTGTTAACCCACTTACAGCGTATCTCTGATTTATGACTCATAGGCGTGTCAGTCAACACAAACAACCTAAAGCACCGGTTTACAATTGGATCTAGAGCCAAGTTGTTTAGTTTGATTTATGAATATAACAAATAAATAAAATAAGTTGTTTTTCATCAGTGAGGATGATGCTCATCTCAGGCCCAGCATTAGGTCTCTGATGATCTTTTTATTTTATTTTTTTAATAGAATAATGAAAAAACTAAATATTTACACTAGATATATTTTTATTTCCTCGTCTGCTTGTCTTCCAAGTGTCCTCATTCCTCATCAATAAACTGCAGAAAATGCTGTCACGGTGAAAGACAAGAACTGGACAGAGGGAACTGAGGGTATAAGAAGCTACAAGTTCAGCCTTATACATAAATAAATACCTATGATCCCATCTACGGATGGACTATGACGACCAGGGATGTGTAGAGGTTTTAGGATCAATAAGTAGGCCTGTCATGATAACAAATTCTACTGGGCGATTAACGGTCTCAGAAATTATTGCGATAAACGATAATATTGTTTGAAATTTGACAATAATTAGTATTTATTGTCAAATTTAAGAAGAAATGTTAAATTGTTTTGTATGTAGTACCTATTTTTGACCACCGGATGGCAGTACAAGACAGTTTGAACCGAAGGATGGATAGTGAGGGAGCGAGCAGCATGTCTCTTTTAGAAAAATGGGAGGGAGGCCCCTTGACGTGACAAGGGCTGTTTCTCTTTCCTGTTTTTCTGTTCTCAAAATGGTGGACGCTCAGTGTGGTTTGAGCTCTTTAGCATAGCATTTTGTCAATCAAAGATTTAAATAAAAAAAATCAGTAAACAAGTTCTCAGCTTCTTTTGCAGCAAAAAACAACTTTTTGCACGAAGGCACGGGTTTCAACCGTGAATTTTGGAGCTTTGGCAAGACGGAGGTTTTTTCCCCCCCCGAGGTTAGCCTGTTAGCTTAGCTCGTAGCTTAGCTTCTTTTTATGATGGAAAAACGTGATTTTGGACGGTTAAAACAGATTTTAAACAGAGGGGTCAGTGAAGAGCACCCGAGTTGAGCCTTTTGTCATCCAGTGTCTTCAGTAGAAAGAGACATGAAGAAATGATAAAGCCAATAAATGAAAACGAGGTCGAACATTTTAATTTATCATGCAATATATTGATTGTTTATCGCGACCTATCAATAAGAAAATGACAATTTAAACAGAGCGATTATAAACACTGAGAAAAGACGCGTGTATGTATAAAACACACAATCTAGAACAGACACGTAGCAGAAACAAGTAGCTATTCGGAGTTAGAATAAGAAGCAGGATCTGATTCTGCCCAGATTTAACCGGAGTCGTTTTATTTGACCCGACTGAATTAAATCACAACAAACGTCGACACCGAGATGAATTTTCTTCTGATGATTACTCCAGGCTGAAGACATCTCCTTTAACTGACAGATAATCTCTCAGTTCATGTGTGTTTGAGATCTGGACTTAAATAAGAACAAAGCACCAAACAGGGATTTATTCAACAACAGGACGTACATTCCTAAAATAAACTAAACAAAATCTCTTCCTGGTGCTGGAAACAGTTTACGGCAGCGTTCAGACGCTCAAACCTCCTTAGAGGCTTGTCGGTTGTTTTGGAGGCTAATAAGATGCAGAAATGACTTCAGAGCTGCACTCTTCAACCTCAAACTGTCTGCAGCTCCACAAACTGAGACCCAGGAGTTGTTTTATTCTTCTCCTCCACCTCGACTCTCCCTTCCTGTTTTAGCCTCTTCCTCTCATCACTGACTGTTCACTCCTCAAGCTCATTTCTCCTCTTGTTCTTTCGTTACCTCACCGCCACAACCACCATTTTATTTTTTACACACATCAACGTTTTTGCTGCTCTCCAGCTCAGCTGGGATGTTTACAGGGTAAATTTAAAGAATCCACGTGGGATTAAAAGTGAAACGGTGCAGCGTGCTGCACATGAATGAGTCGATTATTGGATCTAAACACAGTTTCATCCCACGCCTTTGCTACAGAACCCGTTATCATCCATGGTTCGATTGAGTGATAGATTATCGCCTTTGCCGCCGTACAAGTCGCATCAGTTCAAAACTGTCTAATAAAATGGAAAAATCCATAAATACGTTGCTTCGCCGTATAAATTGCACCTATTATGCGTCACAGCTGACAACACGGAAATGTGGGCCGGTGTTGCGCCAAAAATCGACTGACTGCCAAATGGCGGCCTGTGCACAGGAGGACTTTGACAAGAATTTAACACGATTAACACTTAAAAACAATTATTTGTTTACTCGACATTATAGTAAAGGTGTGTCTTAGTTGAATTTTTGCTTAATAAATGCACTTTGATGGTCAAATCAGCTGCATTTCGCCGGGTGACGCAGTGAAATGAAGCAGATTTGACGGTTGCTCCAGGTGAAGGATGAAGGTGGCAGGCTGCAAGCCAATTGTGCCATTAATAGCCACTTTTACCTATTACATGACAACGGTATGCCATACTACTTGAGCGCCATCTAGCAGCTGAAAATGGTAGTGTTTAATATTTTCAGTCAGAATTAACGAAAACGGTCATATCTCAGCCAAAAATTGGTTCATAAATATGCGGAAAAATTCATAAATACGTCATGTCAGCGTATAAATCGCAGGGCATGCAAATTATGCAAAAAAACCCAAAACAAAATAAAAACGACATATAGGCTGAACAATACGGTAGTTTCATCGGATGGAGGACAACATCCAGCCTCCCTTCAGACATCGTCTAAAGGTCCTCCTTCATCAGATCATTTTTGTGGCGAGTTTTAAAGAAGAAATCCTTCAGATTTCACGTCTAACCTCCCATGAGGAGGTGTTTAACCTCCTTCCATCTCGTAGAGGAATCAGAGGTGTTTAACCTCCTTCCATCTCGTAGAGGAATCAGAGGTGTTTAACCTCCTTCCATCTCGTCGAGGAATCAG